TGTTACCCAGGCTGGAGTGCAATGGCGCAATCTCGGTTCACTGCAACTTCTGCCTCCTGGGTTCAGGCAATTCTCCTGCCTCAACCTCCTGAGTAGCTGGGATTACAGGCACGCGCCACCATGCCTAGCTAATGTTTTGTATTTTTAGTAGAGACGGGGTTTCGCCATGTTGACCAGGATGGTCTCGATCTCTTGACCACGTGATCCACCCGCCTCGGCCTCCCAAAGTGCTGGGATTACAGGCTTGAGTCACCGCGCCCGGCAACATCTTTTAAAGGAACCTGTTGGGAAAGGATAACAGGCCCAAGGGGTCCTCACATGGGAAATTTATCTTGATTCAGGACCAGGAGCCTCACTCCTAACCTTCTTTACTTACACATCCTCTTCCCAATCACCCTCAGACCACAGAGTTAGTGGTCTGAGGGTAATCTAATAGATCACCTCACATACACAGAAAGCAAATCATTTTTTTTTTTTTTTTTTGGGGGACGGAGTTTCGCTCTTTTTACCCAGGCTGGAGTGCAATGGCGCGATCTCGGCTCACCGCACCCTCCACCTCCTGGGTTCAGGCAATTCTCCTGCCTCAGCCTCCTGAGTAGCTGGGATTACAGGCACACGCCACCATGCCCAGCTAATATTTTGTATTTTTAGTAGAGACGGGGTTTCACTGTGTTGACCAGGATGGTCTCGATCTTTTGACCTCGTGATCCACCCGCCTCGGCCTCCCAAAGTGCTGGGATTACAGGCTTGAGCCACCACGCCCGGCCTGCAAATCATTTTTAATAAATGGCTTTAAGAAACCCAATTGCTCTCCATCTTTTTTATATTGGGGAGGAGGGGTTATGAACAGAGAAATCATTCAAGTCAAAAAGACAGATACTAATTAAGAATAAGAAATATATGGCCAGGCGCAGTGGCTCACACCTGTAATCCCTGCACCTTGGGAGGCCAATGTAGGCAGATCACCTGCGGTCAGGAGTTCAAGGCCAGCCTGGCCAACATGGTGAAACCCCATCTCTACTAAAAGCACAAAAATTAGCTGGGCGTGGCGGTGCACACCTGTAATCCCAGCTACTCAGGAGGCAGAGGCAGGAGAATTACTGGAACCCGGGAGAGGTGGAGGTTGCAGTGAGTCTAGATTGCACCACTGCACTCCAGTGTGAGTGATAAGAGTGAAACTCCATCTAAGATAAATAAATAAATAAATAAAAATAATAAGAAATATATGAGCCGGGTGCAGTGGCTCATGCCTATAATCCCAGCACCTTGGGAGGCTGAGGCAGGTGGATCACCTGAGGTCAGGAGCTTGAGACCAGCCTGGCCAACATAGTGAAACCTCATCTCTACTAAAAATACAAAAAATTAGCTGGGCATGGTGGTGGGCGCCTGTAATCCCAGCTACGAGGCTGAGGCAGGAGAATTGCTTGAACCTGGGAGGCGAAGGTTGCAGTGAGTGGAGAGCATGCCACTGCATTACAGCCTGGGCAACAAGAGTAAAAAACAGTCAAAAAAAAAAAAAAAAAAGAAAGAAGAAAGAAATACATTTGCTTAATTTCAAACCATTTTTACACAACATCCGTATTATCTTTGAAAAGTCAACTAAAAAAGTGAATGAAACATGTTCCAAAATACTGGGCTCTATATTTTTATATAAGGACCATCTATTTCAGTCTGAAAAAGTGATTTATAAACTGGTCCTTTACCATGTCCATGTTCTGCCCAAGTTAATGTGCAAAATGTCACATGAGTGGATCAAATAAATTCCACAGAGAGAAGAGATAACCCTGTCAAGGAAGTTAATATTCTAATCACAACCCAAACAACACATAACACAAGGAGCCTTGCCTTAGCAGCTGCTAGGCCTCCGGAGCCACCTCCAATGATGATAAGGTCATAGTCATAGGACTCGGGAAGATCCTCAGGGCCGTTCATTTTTAGTAGCTTTTGAAGTCTGCCCTCCTGATAAGCCTAAAGAAAAATAACAGAAGAGAAAATAATTTAACTTAGAATCGGGAATTTCTATAAAGCTTTGTAAGAAAATCTTTCCTTAAAGAAAAACAAAAGGAATTTTCAAACGGAAGATGTCATTTGATTTATATTAATTACACCATGCAGATAGAAATATTCAACCTTCCTTAAAGTGGTGAACTGCTTGCTTTATTTTAGTTTATTAACCCCAAAGACTGTCACTGCTAACTACTTTGAAGTGTTCATATAATAATACCTCTACATCTACATAAGTAAACCAACTTAGGTCAAAATCAAGATTAATCATCAGCCCTTTACTCCTAGAATTTTTAAACTAGATTTTAAACCAGGTTTTTAAAAACATTTGTACTATGTTTCAATATAATTCAGCAATCGTCTTTACTTTCTAATCAAAGATAGAATGAGTGGGTTATGATCCCAAGCTAAGATAGGGGTTTGGTAAATATGGTCACAGCTTAATCTCAGTATAACAATTTTAAAAGATCAGCCAAATTTAAGACTTTTCTACACTGTTTAGCTGGGGTGTAACATCTAGAAATTCAGACCAAAACTGTCAATTGATACTGGCCTGTATGAAAAGTTACATGTAAAAGTTGCTGCTCTTGTAGGATATTTTAAATGAGCACAACTCTGCAAAGCTCATTCCTTTAATTTGCATTAATATGCATGAAGTCTCCCATATTTATCATTTATATTTAGTTTCCATATACTTAGCAAGTAACAGGCTTTTATAACTTAGATGTTAGGCTCTCAATTTAAAAAAAAAAATCCTTTCATTCCACTAATTCTGATACCCATCGATCATATTTCACATGGGTTTAATAAGATATTTTGGTGATATATTTAATATTACCTTTTTATTAAAATAAAAATCTTTTTTTTTATTAAAATAAAAATCTATGTTAACAAGAGATAATGACTGAGAATGCTGTTAGCAGGCACAATACAATGTTTTTAAAATATCAAGTCTTAGGCCAGGCTCAGTGGTTCACGCCTGTAATCCCAGCAGTTTGGGAGGCCAAGATGGGAAGATCACTTGAAGTCAGGAGTTCGAGATCAGCCTGGCCAATGTGTGAAACCCTGTCACTACTAAAAAATATGAAAATTAGTCAGGCGTGTGGCATGTGCCTGTAATCTCAGCTACTCTGGAGGCTGAGGCAGGAGACATGCTTAAACCTGGGAGGCAGAGGTTGCAGTGAGCCAAGATCACACCACTGCACTCTAGCCTGGGCGACAGAGTGAGACTCCATCTCATAAAAAAATCAAATCTTAACCTTAATAACAAAAAAAGTCCCCAAACTTACCAGCCCAAACTGCACATTTCTCTCTTGCCTACCATCAGATGTAGGGGGTGAAAGGCAGAGCTTGGGGTCAGCAGAACAACAAGGTTCCTGGGATGTGGAAGGGGGTGTGATGGAGCTATGTGACGGAAGAAGCACAGCATTGTGGCTACCTGTTGGCAGCACGTCAGGCACACGTAGTGGCTCAGGGACTGAAGGGAGAACACCTGGAAACCAGCAACAGTGGGGACAAGACTGCGCCACCCTGACAGTCTGCACAAAAGGTCTAGCATGAGAGGCTGGTAAACACAGCCAGTAGTCATCAACTGGCATTATGGCCAAGGCTCCTCCTTCAATACAAGGCACTGTGGGGGAAAAACAACTTGGTAATAACAGCCATTCGATGAAAGGATCAATTAAGCTTCAAATAACTAGTGTGACTCTCTACTCAGTCTCAAAAAGCATGACTTACTGGTTTAACAGTTTTTTGGTCTTTCAAAATTAATGTTTATTATGTCTGTATAATCTGTGTATGGATTTTGAAAAAGTCATTTATGTATTTTACAAATTTTTTTCTTTTCTTTCTTTTTTTTTTTTTTTTTTTTTTTTTTGGTTTAAGAGTTAACCAATAAACGCAATTAGATGCTCTGCTGGAAAAATAAAATATAATCATTTTTCATCTTGACCTCATTTTATTTGCATGAACTTAGCAACGATGGTGACAGAACACAATCACCAGTTGACTAAATGAAAACCACAGTTCTGGGAATCTCCCTCCTCCAATATACCTACTAGAACAAATATTGGAAAATGTATCCTCAAGCTGAAAAGCCACATATTTCATGCACCAATATTTAAAATCTGTTCCTTACTAAAATTCTGTACCTAACCTGGGTTCTCATGGTTTAAACTTAAAGTCAACCAGTGCACAGATTTTACAAAAAAAGCTCTGGATGAGCCTCAACATTTTTAAGCACTATAGGTAAAACTGGTAAGACACAGGAAATTGAAGCATTCAGTTGACCTTAGAATTAAACATTTTGTTTTTAAATTTTAACCAAACTTGAAAGTGCTGTCATTCAGTTCCATGTTAAGTGGTATCTCACCTGAAATATAAATAAAATAGAAGACAGCTCCCCTAGAGAGCATAAGAAAGTAGCACAGAGATGGGGTAAGGAAAAGAGAAAAATGCTCCCATTCTCCTCCAGTTACAATTACTAGAAATTATATCCGCTGACCATGGTGAATGCCACAGAAGTTCTCAAACTTTTACATCTCAGGACTCCTTTACAATCTTAGCTCTAAAATTGAGACTCCAGAGAGCTTTTTTGTTAATGTAGGTTTTATCCATTTACTATATTAGAAATTAAAATTGAGAAGAAACTTAAAATATTAACAAATTTAAGAACAGGTCTAGTGCGGTGGCTCACGCCTGTAAATCCCAGCACTTTGGGAGGCTGAGGCGGGTGGAGCATGAGGTCGAGAGATGGAGACCATCCTGGCCAACATGGTGAAACCCTGTGTCTACTAAAAATACAAAAAAAAAAATTAGCTGTGTGTGGTGACATGTGCCTGTAGTCCCAGCTACTCAGGAAGATGAGGCAGGAGAATTGCTTGAACCCGGGAGGCAGAGGTTGCAGTGAGCTGAGATCCCACCACTGTACTCCAGCCTGGTGACAGAATGAGATTCCATCTCAATTAATAATAATAATAATAATAATATACTTATTAAATGTTAATATGAGTATTTTTACTTAAAAAAAAAAACAACTTTTTTAATTAAAAGAATGGCACTGTTTTGCATCTTTGCAATTCTCTTTAATGTCTGACAACAAAAGACAGTTCATATCTGTTTCTCCATTCACTCTGTTGCAACATCACCTGTCATGTAACCTCTGGAAAACTTCACAGTTCACATCCAAGAGAATCATAGTATTATGAAAATAATTCTGACCTCAAAGTATGCCCAAAAGGGCCTCATCCACTTTGAGAGCCACTGCTTAGAATGTAAGTAGATGACCTGTAGGCATTTGTCACTTGTTGGCAAGGCTTACGCATTGAATAGTCTTCCTTTTCTTCCACCTGTCTGTCATAGTAATCCCTTTCCCCAGCCCTATTCCTAGTAAAACACTCCTCAAGTCTCCTCCAAAAAGGGTACAATACAGAAAGCAATTCAACTGTGGCGGCCTTTTAAAATCAGAAGAAGCAATCCTGACTTTTCCCCCAAACATAGCTTCTATCCTTTACCAGATTTGTACTTTTGTCCCCCTACCATTATACATGGCTCTGGTTCAGAAATAACCTGTTAAAATACTTGCTCTACAACTCAAAGGCGAGGTGACTTGGACAAATCACCTAATCCTTAATGAAGCTAACAGGTTCCTGACCTCATCAAATGGCTGAGTTTAAGAAAGATAATGCCTGTTAGCATAGTGGCTGGTAGGAACTAATCCCTTTAAGTTACTAATTCTCCATTTCCTGAAGAAGGGAAATTGCCTGAAACTAAGTCAAGAAGTGCTAGAACATATTTTACAGGTGTCCTCTGCTGAGCTTCCCTGCATCAATCTCCACCTGAAATGCCCTCTTCCTAACAAATCTTGATCCACTAGCATGATAGACAGGCTAGCATGATGTTATAAATTTTTATTCAGTGTACAAACATATTACCCTTCCACAGCATTCCCGTGGAGACTGGGGGCTTCCTTAACCAACACACTAAGAGATCACAACACAAAAGTTCCATTTTATCCAACAAATTTCTCTTCAGTTCCCAATGTTCTTTTCTTTCTTACATTGCCAATAACACAAGCTGCCACAGCACTCAGAATATACAACTGTTCCACTACCTGGGATGTCCTCTTTTCTCCACTCCAACCCCTTCATGCCCTTCAAGCTTAAATTAGAAGCCTTTACTTAACAGCCCTTGTGATATGGTTTGGCTGTGTCCTCACCCAAACTGAATTCCCACGTGTTGTGGGAGACACCCGGCAGGAGGTAATTAAATCATGGGGCAGGTCTTTCCCATGCTATTCTCATGACAGCGAATGAGTCTCACGAAATCTGACAGTATTATAAAGGGGAGTTCCCCAATTTCTCTCTTTGCCTGCGGCCATCAGGAGCAAGATGTGACTTATTCCTCCTCCTTGCCTTCCTCTGTGATTGTGAGGCCTCCCCAGTGATATGGAACTCTGGGGTCATTAAACTCCTTTCTTTCATAAGCTGTCCAGTCTTGGGTATGTCTTTAGCAGCAGCGTGAAAATGGACTAATACGCCTTGAGTTGGGTGCTTCTCCTCTGAAATCCCACTGCTGCCATCACACAACCCCATCAACTCTGCAAGGATGGGCATCCTGTCTTTCATCTCTGTGGGCCCAGACTTTGGGAGCACTACCGCCTCACTAGATGAGAGCCTAGTCTTATGGAACCACCACCATATATGTGGTCTATTGTTGACCTCATTCAGTACATGGTTGACCTTATATAGTGCATTACTGTATTCTGGTAAATGACTTATGAAAAACAGATTACATTTCAAATGCCTCCTTCAAGGAGCCTCCCCTTAACCCTTCTTCCCAGGCAGCACTTCAACCTCTATCCAAGCAACTTTTCTTTTTTTTGAGATAAGAGTCTTGTTCTGTCACCCAGGCTGGAGTCCAGTGGCACAATCTCGACTCACTGCAACCTTTGCCTCCTGGGTTCAAGTGATTCTCTTGCCTCAGCCTCCTGAGTAGCTGGAATTACAGGCGTGCACCATCAGGCCTGGCTAATCTTTGTATTTTTAATAGAGATGGGGTTTCACCATGTTGGTTAGGTTGATCTTGAACTCCTGACCTCATGATCCGCCCGCATAGGCCTCCCAAAGTACTGTGATTACAGGCATGAGCCACTGCACCCAGCCTAAGCAACTTTTCTTCAGAGCTATCATCATTAACAGGAATATGCTGTCTTTCTCTATGATAGGGTGAACAATGGTTCTCCAAGGTAGAAGTCTGGATCCCTAGAACCACTGAATACGTTATGTGTAAAGAGACTTTGGAGAATGATTAAGTTTTTAGAGAGAGATTTTTCCAGGATTATCCCACTAGGCCCAATGTAATCACAAGTATTCTTATAAGAGGGATGCAGAGAGAGACTTGATTATAGTACCAGGAGGTGTGAGGACAGAAGAGGTTGCATTTCCAGCTTTGAAAATAGAGGAAGGGACAGATTGTAAGCCAGGGAATGCAGGTGGGCTTTAGAAGCTGAAAAAGGCAAGGGAACAGATTCTGCCTCAGAGCTTCCAGAAGGAACCAGACCTATTGATATTTGGATTTTAGCATACAACCTCCACAACTGTAAAATAATTAGTGTCATTTAAAACCACTCAATGTTTGGTAGTATGATAGAGCAGCAATAGGAAATTAATATACCCACTAAACTATGAAGTCCATGAGAGGTGGGCACTGTTCTATCCACCATTCTTTCACCAGTGCCTAGAACAGTGACTGGCAAAATGGGTACTCAAACAGTTGTAGAATAAACGAATTACTAATCACTTGGTAATACAACCCCCCTAGGACAAGGGTCTAAAAAGCATGATAAACAGTCATCGAGAATCAAAGGAAAGGAAATGAACCATTACAGAGATGAACCATTATCATGGAGGGAGGTGGCATCATGGAATTTGCTGACTCTGATCTAGAGAGTGAGCCACTAACATGGAGTCTACAATGAGAAAAATGTCTTTTTATATATTATCTCATTTAACCCTCACAATAAAGTCTTCCAGCCAGATGTTTATTCCCATTTCATATTGAATAGAGGCCCTTAGAGATAAAGAAACTTGCCCACAAGCCAAGAATTCAGCCCAACTTCGGTTACGGAGATGACAAACCTCTTGCTTTTCCAACTATACTATATACCGTAATTCATATCTCCAAGTACATTTCACAAACGTTTTCTACTTTCTTACTGTAAACTTATTCCCACTTGGCAAATGAAAAACCTGATGTTTACAGGTTAAATAATTTATCCAAAGTGCATAACTAGAATGTTATAGAGTGAGGATCTGATCCCAGATCCTCTAACTAGCAAGTGGTTCTACCATTCAATAGTTCTATTACATAAAAATATTCTCAAAATATTTTTAAAATATTTCTTAAAAATATTGTCCTAGTCTGGGTGTGGTGACTCACACTGTTAATCCTCAACACTTTGGGAGGCCAAGGCAGGAGGATTTCTTAAGCCCAGGAGTTCAAGACCAGCCTGGGCAACATGAGACCTTGTCTCTTCCAAAAAAAAAAAAAAAAAGAAAGAAAAAAAATAGCTGAGCATGGTGGCACGCAGCTGTAGTCTCAGCTACTCAGGAGGCTGAGGCAGGCAACTCACTTGAGTCTGAGAGATCAAGGCTGCACTAAGACATGATTGTGCCACTGCACTCCAGCCTGGGCAACAGAGCAAGAGACCCTGTCTCAAAAACAACAAAAAATTTCCTACATTTCAGTTTATTGAACCTGCAAAATTTAAAGTAATCTATATTACCAAGAAACAACCAAATTTGCAGTTTGACTCTTAAACTCTATAAACATTTTTAATCTCCTTATTTCCTCAAGGTAAGCAGTCACTTTAATTTCAAAAATGAGGCAATCCATCATGTCATATCATTTTACTGGTTGGTGTCATGCCAACCAGTAAAAATAAAAACACTAGTGGTTAACTTTATATTTTAACAGCTATTAACTTTAGAGAAGACCAAAAAATTACCTCTCCTAAGCCTCCAGATTCTCTATTAACGCTTTCAAGTCATCGCTGTCAAATATTCCTAGTAAAGACATGAGGCATTCAACAGAGCAACTGATTGGCAGTAAAGTACTAGGGCAGGATCTTTTTGCTGTCAGTGAGAGTACTTTTTCTTCCAGTAACAGATCTCTGCAAAACCTAAGGAACTTGGTTGGTAGAGACATGCTGAAGATCAGTGAGACCAAATGATGCTTCCATGACTGCTACTATAAATCAAAGGATAGTAGACAGTAGCAATGGTCAGCACTCTTTCATATGTGAAAGAAGGAATGACTAGTTTAGAAAATAATTTGCCAAGTTTCATGAAAGTTGTTTTTGCTAAAACCTCTACTATTATTATTGGTGAAGAACCTCACCCCCATGCATGGAAGATCCTTCAACTCAATCTTGGTGTCATTTGTCTGTCTTTGGCTTTCCCTTTCCTGCACCACTAGGCTTAGTAGGAAAGTTTGCCACTGCTATGCATAACAGATACCTAAACATTTGCTAAATTACTAACAGCAAAATTCCACAACCACCAAACATTAAGCTCCTATAGGAATTGGGGTAAAAAAGCTTATGGGGCGGGCGGGCGTCGTGGCTCACGCCTGTAATCCAAGCACTTTGGAGGCCAAGGCAGTTGGATCACCTGAGGTTGGGAGTTCAAGACCAGCCCGACCAACATGGTGAAACCCCATCTTTAAAAAAAAAGCTTATGGGGCATGCTTACTGCACCTTCTCAAGTTGTTTTCTTAATGACCCAAATTCTTGGCAATAATCTCCAAATAAGGTTGTAATTTATATTCTTAAAACAACTACAAGCAACAGAAAGAAAAAAGCCTTTATGGCTTTACACTAAGTGAAGAACATCTAGATGAATTAACATGTTTTAGTTTCAGCAGAGGCAGTTTCCTAGCATTTAAAGCCCTGTTAAGAATTGCAAAATTTGGCTCACACTCGTAATCCCAGCACTTTGGGAGGCCGAGGTGGGAGGATCACCTGAGGCCAGGAGTTGGAGACCAGGCTGGCTAACATGGCAAAACCCTGTTCAAACTAAAAATACAAAAATGTGTTGGGTAATAATGGCATGCACCTGTAATCCCAGCTACTTGGGAGGCTGAGACATGAGAATTGCCTGAACCCAGGAGGCACAGGTTGCAGTGAGACGAGATCCCACCACTGCACTCCAGCCTGGGCAGCAAGAGAGACTGTCTCAAAGAAAAAAAAGACTGGGCACAGTAGCTCACGCCTGCAATCCCAGTACTTTCGGAGTCCAAGGCCTAGGGTAGATCACAAGGTCAAGAGTTCAAGACCAGCCTGGCCAACATGGTGAAACCCCGTCTCTACTAAAAATACAAAAATTAGCTGGGCGTGGTGGTGGGTGCCTGTAATCCCAGCTACTCGGGAGGCTGAGGCAGAGAATTGCTTGAACCCAGGAGACAGAGGTTGCAGTGAGCCGAGATAGCTTGCACTCCAGCCTGTGACAGAGCGAGACTCCATCTCAAAAAGCAAACAAAACAAAACAAAAGAAATGCAAAATTGAAGTAGGACAAATATTTAAAGTTGTTACATGGTGAAACACCACAGTTCTGAAGGACATTCTGTGTACTAGCAAAGACAACAAAGGGACACTAGGGACTGGAGCAGAAGTTCAGTAGATAAAAACTACAACTGGATACCAAAAGATTTTGTGTTCAAAGTATAATAGTTAGACAAAAACATTTTCTGAGGATACTAAAAGATGAAGTTATTCAATTCTTGCCCAGCTTAACATTCAAATATAATAGTTTTTCCATAAATCTAACAGGTCTCTTGTGCTGTTAACAATTCCATGTGGCCGGGCGCGGTGGCTCAAGCCTGTAATCCCAGCACTTTGGGAGGCCGAGGCGGGTGGATCACGAGGTCAAGAGATCGAGACCATCCTGGTCAACATGGTGAAACCCCGTCTCTACTAGAAATACAAAAAATTAGCTGGGCATGGTGGTGCGTGCCTGTAATCCCAGCTACTCAGGAGGCTGAGGCAGGAGAATTGCCTGAACCCAAGAGGCGGAGGTTGCGGTGAGCCAAGATCGAGCCATTGCACTCCAGCCTGGGTAACGTGAGTGAAACTCCGTCTCAAAAAAAAACAATTCCATGCATTTGACCTTGTTATTCTTCTGCCTAGAATGCCTTTCCCTTCCTTGTGTTTCTAATCACCTTTCAGCCCTTAGCTGATACTACTCAGCAGAGATACTACTTTTGCTGAGTCCAGTAATAGGAGAAATTGGAATATGGATACTCACTCACAAACCTTTTTTCTGAGTCTTGTTCTGTCGCCCAGGCTGAAGTGCAACAGCTCAACCTGGGCTCACTGCAACCTCTACCTCCTGGGTTCAAGCAATTCTCCTGCCTCAGGCTCTTGAGTAGCTGGGATAACAGGAGCCTGCCACCACATCCAGCTAACTTTTGTATTTTTAGTAGAGACAGGGGTTTCAGGCTGTTATCGAACTCCTGATCTCAGGTGATCCACTGGCCTCGGCCTCCCAAAATGCTAGAATTACAGGCGTCGGCCACCGTACCCGGCCCTCACTCACAAGTGTTAAGTCCTCTTTGCAATGACTTTTTTAGTCTTAATGGTACCTATTCACTGCATTACAGACAGGGTTTTTCTGACTTTTGTTTTTTACCCACTCTTTCCCCAACCTGGTAAGAAATCCTTTCTGGGATTCTCTTGCTTCCCTGTAACAGAGAAAGCAACACCTTATCACAGAGCATCATAACTGGTTTTCATAAATTATTATGTTTTGTAAATTATCAAATATTCTTTAATTTGGTATCCAAAACTTTTTATTAAAATAGTCTTAAAGGGCATTCAATAAAACATTCTCATTAATATGCCAGCAAAATTTTTTTTTAAATAACAGAACATCATGGCCTTACAAATTATTAAGAAAACTATGCTGCACAGTAAAACAATGTTTTCAAGTATATTTTTTCAGCTTACAAGAGATACAATATGTGTTTCAGTTTAGATTTAACTCTCTCAGAGAACTTCGGGAAAAAAAAAACACAAAAAGGATCCTATACTAAGAAATCTTTAGCATGAGGAGTTTATCATAGCCTCAGAAATTTCAAAAGCTGCCACAATATTCTTCCAATCCTGTAAAGTCAAAGATATAACTCCCTGTTTCCTGCCATGGCAACTGGAATCATTTCCCTCACTCATTTGGTTAATATTAATCGGTTCTAATATTGGCAGCCTGTCTTCATCAAGCCTTATTCTTGCAAAACCATCTCTTATAATGAAAGAAACATAAAATATATTCTCCACAGTACGAGAAAAAGAGTTTGGATCAATCACAAACTCAAAATAGGACACAGGAGTATCAGGATACTTTCGAAAGTAGGTTTGCAACAATCCCAAAATCCTTTCTACGTTTTCTTCGGTCGCTTCTGGGTAACTACTCAGGTCTAACTTCCTCAACTTTGTAGGCATATTCCCATTTTCTTCCATTCTGCGAACTTTTCTCTGGTGTTCAAGTCGGGGCTTTGGTGCAGAAGGTTGTGGCTTGAAAGAACCGAAAACGAAATGGAATGTTTCTGCTTGTACCATCCAGGATGCTGCTTCCTTTTCTATGGCCTCCCAGAAGGAAAGGGTTATATCGTCGTCATAGCCACCCAAGTCGTCAGGCTCACCTTCCATCCAATTCAGACCCACGAACACAAACAGGAAGTCACAAAATGCTACCTGATTGAAGAAGTTCATGTCCGAGTTTAGCTGCTTTGCCTTTTCTTTACCCAAATCAGAAGCCATCACAAGAAACTGGGCATCGAGGGCTGCTTCTCTGGTTCGGCTCACGCCATCAAACAGGACGTTGGCTTCCTCCAGAGCCTCGGTTAAGGAGTCGCTCGCCGAGTTCACGATGTCCTCCCGGTTATGCCGCACGCAGTACATGAGCTGCCGGTACTGCCTGCGGATGCTGCGGCACTTCTCCTCGTCAGCGGCGAGCTCCAAGAGCATTGGGTCAATGTCGGCTTCCCCGGAGCTGAGGTCGTCGGAGTAGCCCGCCGCCCTCACCGCCACTTCCAACTTCGTGGGCGCTCCCTCCTCCGCCGCCTGCTTTGCCGCGTACTCGCTACCGGGGATGATCGCGAGCTGCTCCTCTTCTTTCTCCTCGTCTCCCTTCCGGGAAGCTTTTTCATCCGACATGCTGGCCATGGATCTCTCTCAGGTAACGGACTTCCCAGCGTGTGGAAATTCGTGTGGAAACTGGCGGCAGCTGGTGCCGAGGACGCCCGCGCAGGCGTACTAGCGGCCAAGGCCGGCGCAACGCGCCCCAGCACGCTCCGGGAGGACAGCCCAGCCCCGCCCCGGCCCGGTCCGAGGCGCTCCCTCACAGGCCAGCGCCTCGATCCGAACGCACGCAATAATGGGCGTCGACCCCACACGCGACTAAGGTCCGCTCAGGGAACAGCTATTCTTTTTCAAAGCGTTTACCGACTGCATCACCTCACTTTTAAAGAGACACTTTTGGACAACTTTAGACACAACTGTTGAGCAGACTACAGGTCCTGCGCTTTAAAACCATCGCTGCCATCACACACTGCAGTGAGGTCGACCTAGGGTTTTGTTTTTTTGTGAACTAAATCTGGCTGGACTGTAAACCGTCGGTGAGGCCAAGGACCGTGAAAAGCAGAAACTCCACAACAAACAGGCTGAACTCTCAATTATTTTGCAAGGTGGTGTCTGGACTCAATACAAATATAGATCGGTAATTCCTTTCACAGGTCCTCTTAAAAACCAAATCCCAGCATCCCATGGGGGTGGGGGGAGCCGCCAGTACCCGTGCTAACCCCTGCAGGGTTAGTGGATGCTGGGCACGCGCATTACTCAAGTGAACTTTGGCTCTCCACCACCCAGGAGTGGAAGAATAGAGCGGGTACAGATCTCTGCAAAAGAGCAGTTCACTTAGAAGCTTGCCAACAGCTAAAGGCCACAGACTCTGAATGGGTAGTAACTCTGAACCCTAAAAGGTGAGCAACGCTATGAAGATTTCAGATACAATCTAAGGATATGAAAGCTTAATCTGTAAATTGGGTGACTACACTGCGTTGGAAAATTTACCCATTGGATTTAATGGGGTCACTGGAAACTCAAGTGCAGTTAATTTGGTATCCAAACTTTTTGGATATCCGCCTATCAGTCTCACCAGTAGCAAGCAGCAAAGTATACTCAACAATGGGAATGAATACATCTTGTTTTTAAAGAGAACATGCACCCAACCAACCCATGAGGATCAACAGCTTTTCAAGCCTGCAATAAGTACACCTTAAAAAAAAAAAAAGGACACCCACAATTGCGCCTGTCCAATTGCCAGTTTCATAGCACCAGGAAGTAACTTAGCCCTACCTTCCTTTATGCATCTAGACTTCTTAAGCATTTGCAGAAACTTTCTTGCAAATGCACAAAGAGCAAAATCTAGTGGTATTAAGTTACTCCAAAATCCTTATATTACCATTTGCTCACAATTTTTTTTTTTTTTTTTGAGACAGAGTTTCGCTCTTGTTACCCAGGCTGGAGTGCAATGGCGCGATCTCGGCTCACCGCAACCTCCACCTCCTGGGTTCAGGCAATTCTCCTGCCTCAGCCTCCTGAGTAGCTGGGACTACAGGTACGCACCACCATGCCCAGCTAATTTTTTTTTTGTATTTTTAGTAGAGACGGGGTTTCACCATGTTGACCAGGATGGTCTCGATCTCTTGACCTCGTGATCCACCCGCCTCGGCCTCCCAAAGTGCTGGGATTACAGGCTTGAGCCACCGCGCCCGGCACAATTATTTTTTTAACTAGGGAGTAATTCTGGGAGATACATGCATTTTTCAAAAAACATGATGCATTATGGTTAGTTGTACATATATATTATATACATTGTTGGCTTCTCAAGAACAAAAGCTGGGTTTTAGATCTTCCAAACATAGTTGTTTTTACATGGATGACTGATGTACTGAATGTACAAATTAAAATAGATTTAAAATTGTCCCAGCATCTACTGCAAGTTATTTGACAGCAAAGATTAAGTTAACAGATTCATGGAAGTAATCCTATACAGTGAAAGTAAAAGTTGACTGCTTTTCAGAAAAAGTCAGTTCTTATCCCTCTTCTGAAATAAAGGAAAAATGAGAGAAAGGTAAGTTGAGACCCAGGATCATTAAAGGACCATATCTTTCCCAAGTCTGGCGAATTACAAACTAGTTTTTATATCTGTTTTAAATCTTAGATGAAAATACAGTTAAGAATTCCAAGACCCAGCCGGGCTCCGTGGCTCACACCTGTAATCCCAGCACTTTAGGAGGCGGGCAGATTACCTGAGGCGGGAGGATCACTTGAGATCAGGAGTTCAAGACCAGCCTAGGCAACATGGCGAAACCCCGTCTCTACTAAAAGTACAAAAATTAGCCTAGCGTGGTGGGGGCGCCAGTAATGCCAATTACTCAGGAGGCTGAAGCAGGAGAATCGCTTGAACCCAGGAGGCGGAGGTTGCAGTGGGCCAAGATCACACCACTGCACTCCAGCCTGGACGACAAGAGCGAGACTCTGTCTCAAATAAATAAATAAAAGGCATTCCAAGACCCAAATCCCAAAAAGTCTGCTTTTACACTCAACGATATTCTTGGGAGCTTCTGGCATCCACTTTAAATTCAACAGAAGCTATTTATAAAAGAACTCTGAAAGACAAGCCAACCCTTCCCACCCTATCATGCCTATTTTCTCCTGGCTCAGAGGAAGGAAAACAGGCTGACACCAATTTGCCACATAAAGAGCCTTTCATCTAAGAATTTCAAAATGCCTTAGAAAACTACATTCTCCCAACCTACTTATAAAGTATTACTAATACCATTATAGGGATTTCTCAGGAGATAACAGCGCACACAACTTCCTCAGAGCAACAGAGCATATCAAGGCAAGCATTATTAAGTTGTGATTTACAGTGCTGAATGCATTGTATGCTAGATTCCCCAAGAACTTTATTAACATGTAACTTCAATCATCCTAAGAAAGGCAGACTTGCATTATATGCCACCTTTAAAAATCTGCCTTTAGACAGTGCTAAAAAGTAAAACAATCTCAAGTCTAATAATTTTCCCCAATCATATAAAGAATGGGATTTCCGTGCTGGTGAAATCTTTAAATTAAATAATTAAACAGTGATTCTCTAACCAAAGGTCCAAGTGCTACTAATAATTATTTAAATGCAGCTTAAAAAGAAGAAACTGCACTACATAGTTTCAAGTTACTGGTAAATTTGTCTATGTCTAGGAATAGAAAGCAAGAAGTACACTGGTACTTCAAAGAAATCAGTAGAGTCTACTTCTTCCCACAGTATAGACTAGTTCAGGCAACCATGAGACTGAGTTGCCTCAGAGATCATTTAGCTCCCCTCTTCCCCCTTTTTCCTCTTTCTTTGCTCAACTACCCAGGGTTCATTACAACCCTCCATTTCCTTTTCTCTTTTCTTCAGTCTTTTCTCCTATGTTATTTTTCAGTCCCTTTTCTAGTTTAAGTTAATTCCAAGCATTCCTAAGCTCTTTCCCACAACCCATACTGCTCAACACAAACGTGATACATTGCATGACAAAAGTCACATGTCTCCCTGTAACCAAATAAAGGAAGATGTCACATGGAGTCCACTAATTTTTTCCAGTGAGGTTTTGCTGTAAGACTTACCTATAACAAACGGATTTTTAAGAGACTTTAGAGCCAAACCCAGGAATCAGTCAAGTTTGAGTCCCACACTCTAACATATATACTTATCCTATCAGCTACCTCCCTAAACTTTTCTGTTCCTTTTTTCATAGCAGCTTTTTTCCCTTCACACCACCAGGGCATCTGTTTTAACATTGAGTTGTGAAGAAATGTGGTAAAAGTCCTAGTTTGATTTGCCAGAGTAGCAGGATGTTAGGTAGTTTCGCTTTCATCTTAATTTTCTTTAAGGGTATGTTTGTAGGTATATACTTTGCTTTTCTTGTTTTTTTTATTATTAAAAGGTATAAACTTTGCTAAAGACAGGTGTCTGTTGAAAAAAAAAGAAGAGAAAAAAGATATCTGTATGTTTTTTAAAATGAAAATTCATTTCTGAAAAGACCACAGATTGTGGGAAGAGACAATCTCGATTACAATTTTGGCTTATTAGCTCTTAGTATTATCTTAGCCAGCTTGCTTAACCTCTCAGCCTCCAGCATCTTCATTTGTAAGACAGGAACACTGCTACTGTTGACCCTTGAACAAAACAGCTTTGAACTGCGCAGATCCACTTATACCAAAAGCAATAAAAAATATAGCATTTACCCAACTTTGCCTGCTCCTTAAAGAGAAAAAAGCTTGTGAGAAATACAAAAATAAATACTGTATTTGCGAGACGTGAAACCTGTGAATACGGAGAGCTAACTTCCCATATATGCTGGTTCCACAGGGTAGACTTTGGGACTTGAGTATGTATGAACTTGGGTATTCGCAAAGGTCCTGGAACCAACCCCTAAGGATACCAATGGACAACTGTATTTAAACCATACAATTACTATAGTGAATGAAAATAATGTATCTGACAGTGTTTTCAACTACTGAGTAGGTACTTAATATATCAAATAATCCCAAAGATAGCAAATGGAAAAACTGTATACAAACCAGTAGTTTCACTTCTGAATGCTGCTTTAGGAACAGAAAACTTTTTTTTTTTGAGACTGAGTCTCACTCTGTCGTCCAGGCTGGAGTGCTGTGGCTCAATCTCGGCTCACTGCAACCTCCGCCTCCAGAGTTCAAGTGATTCTCCTGCCTCACCCTCCCGAGCAGCTGTGACTACAGGTGTGCTCCACCATGCCCAGCTAATTTTTGTATTTTCAGTAGACACGGGGTTTCACCACGTTTCGCAGGTTGGTCTCGAACTCCTGACCTTGTGATCCATCTGCCTCAGCCTCCCATAGTGCTGAGATTACAGGTATAAGCCACTATGCCCAGTACCAGAAAAAATATTTTAAAGCATGATGCACACGACACTCTTCCGATAGAATGTACAACATGTACAAATACTGGTGGAAAGAAATTTGCCATATAACAAAATTTAAAAAACCTACTAAGGCTTCAACTATTTAAAGTGTGTATAGTAACACTTTGAAGTGTAAACCTCTGTACCAGATATTCTGAAGCAGATCCATAAATAGTCTGAGTTTATATGCAAAATTATTTATGTGCATTTTTCTCAGGAATAGCTCCTTAGATTTCAGCAGATTGTTTTAAATCTAGTAACCAAAAGAGGCTTTGAATAAGTGCTTTATTCAAATAAGATGGCATTATTATTAGAGAAGTAAAAGAGTTTCACTAAATAATCTGGACTCACTCAATTGAAATACTTTGGTTTAGATACAACCTCCACCCTTGCTCTGTGGTCAAATCATATACTTAATGACACTTTAAAAACCCAGTGCTGGCTGACTTGGCAAGCCTTAAGAATATAAACAAGGGTGTGAGAATGAAAAGAACAGAACCTTTAAGGTTACAAGAGCCTCCACAACACCTCAGAAGACAACAATGACTAGTAGTGTTATTTTGATAGACCGGGAGGGTAAGAAAGCACTGGGTGTGTAGCTACTAAAGGATGCAGCATTCAACGAACTCCACTAAGGGATCAGATGGAAATGTCTGCATTATTAGTTTCCACTTACTTTCTTCAGCAATTCTAACATGAGTCTATCAAATGTCTCACTCTGCCATATAAACGGATTGTGATCATTAAAAACAAAATCATATACGAGCACTTGTTATTTACTTTTTGATAAAATAAATGTGTATCGTCCAGGCTGGGGTGCAGTGGCTTGATCTCAGCTCACTGCAACCTCTGCCTCCTGAGTTCAAGTGATCCTTCTGCCTCAGCCTCCTGAGTAGCTGGGATTACAGGCACACACCACCACGCCCAGCTAATTTTTTCTATTTTTAGTAGAGAAGGGGTTTCACCATGTTGGCCAGTTGGTCCCAAACTCCTGACCTCAAGTGATCCACCTGCCTGGGATTATAGGTGTGAGCCACCACGCCCAGTCTGACAAATCAATTTTTAAATAAGTACATTGCTCTATTGCTCTACAGACTTGTGTTATAGATTACAAAGATAGTGCCTAGCCCGGTGTCAACACAGGTGCTCAATAAATACTAGCTGAATAGATGTCAAGTGACTTCCTTCCCAACTGATCTGGACACATCTGCATAAAATGCTGAAGGCAGACAATGATGCTGTCATATAGCTTTTAATTCTGAACTGCTTTCCAATATGCTGCCTAGAATCTCTTCTGAACAACCTAGAGCTTGGCTCCTGATAGACAGCTCATCTTCAATAAAAACAGACACCTTAGAGCTAAATCCTTTAAGTGAGTCTCTTTCAGCCCTACCACCATTCATTCACTCAACACATATTTACTGAATGCCACTAGGAATTAAAAAATAAGCCGTCTGGACACCTGTAATCCCAACACTGTGAGAGGCTG